AGATACTGAATGGTTTATAATCAGGAAAGGGATGTGCCTGGATTGTATCTTTTCACCATACTTATTCAGTCTGTATGGTGAACAAACAATCCAAGAAGGTGGATTATATGAAGAAGAATATGGCATTAGGAATGGAGGAAAATTCATTAACAACTTGCGATATGCCAATGACACAACCTTGCTTGCTGACAGCAAAGAAGGCTTAAAATACTTACTGATGAAGATCAAAGACTACAGCTTTCAGTAGGGATTGCATACCAATGTAAAGAAAACAAAAATCCTACAAATGGACCAATAAATAACATCATTATAAATAGAAAAAAGAATGAAGTTGTCAAAGACTTCATTTTGCTTCGATCCACAATTAATATACACAGAAGCCGCAGCCAAGAAATCAAACAGTGCACTGCACTGGACAAGTCTGCTGCACAAGATCTCTTTAAAGAGTTAAAAGGACAAAGATATCAGCTTGACCACTAGGGTATATATGACCCAAGCCAGGGTAATTTCTCTAACTTCATATGTACGTGAAAGTTGAGCAATAAATCAGGATGACTGTAGAAGAATTGGTGCATAGGAATTCTGGTGTTCTAAAAGAACACTAAATGTACCATGGACTGTGAAAAGAACAAATGTATCTGTGTTGGAAGAAGGACAGCCAAAATGCTCCTTAGAAGCCAGATAGTAAGACCTCGTCTCTCATACTTCTGACATGTTATCAAGAAGGACCAGTCCCTGCCAAAGGACATCATGCTTGGTGAAACAGAGGGTCATCAGAAAGATGGACTGACACAGTGGTGGCCACAATGGTCTCAAATGTAACAACAATTGTGAGGATGGCAAAGGACCAGGCATTGTTTTGTTCAGTGGTGCCTAGGATCCCTATGAGCCAGAACTAACTTGACGGCATCTCACAACAAAAATAAGGCGCTCCGGTAGTGCAGTGGTTACGAATTGGGCTGCTAACCTCAAGGTCAGCAGTTCAAAACTACCAGCTGTTCTGAGGGAGAAAGATGAGGCTTTCTGCTCTCGTAAAGATTTACAGCCTCGGAAACCTTGTGCAGGGTCACTATGAGTCAGAACCGACTCCACGGTACTTAACAACAACTACTATGACTAAAACAGATTTCTGTATAGCTTGGTCAGAAAGAAGTCTTCTTAGATCTATTTCTTAGATCTAAGTCCTATTAGATCTATTTCTCCATCTCATGCTCTTTACTGTTGACTTTGCTTGCAAGCCAAGATACAGATTATTTGAAAATGCAGACCACAGGAACATTAGCTAATATGAACAGTGACTGGAAGGATCAAGTACAGGTTCATGTTGCTGTCATTAGCTGTGGGTGAGTTGACCCTAAACTCCTGGCAGCCTCATGTACATTAAAATCGGACCTTTGGGATCCGTATGATCTTCACTGGCTGATTTTGGGAAGTAGATTTCCAGGTCTTTCTTCCTACCCCACCTTAGTTTGGGAGCTCTGCTGCTACACTTGTTCAGCATTACAGCACCCATTCACGTCTCCCCTGACAGAGAGGCTAAGGCTGCACAGGAGACACCCCGGCCAGATCTGCTACATGGCAGATGACAATGCTACCATGGAATCTCCACTATCACATTGTAAATGGTGGTGGTGTTGTGAAGTGCCATCAAGTCAGTTCCAACTCATAGCGACCCTGGATAGGGTTTCTGAGGAGTGGCTGGTAGGTTGGGACCACCAACCGAGTGGTTAGCAGTCCAGTACGGATCCTACACACGACACCATGACTCCCATTGATAAAAAGTGAGAGCAATTTGAGTAACTAGATAAAGAGCTCAGACTTCTACCAGTTAGAACAACACACAGGAGGACAGCCAACTGTGCTTGAGGAGATAAATATCTCATGGTCTCGGACCAGATCTTTGGAGCTTAGATGGCCATGACCAGCGCTCTGCCGCTGAAGCTGGACACCACTGGACGCCCCGAGCTTGGGGAGCCGTGAGCAGAACCCATTCCATGTGGTCTTTGTCAGCTCCATCATTCCAGCTCAGTGGGAATGGCACAGGTGGACTAAGCCTTGTTTCCAGTCCACAGTAGCACTAGAAAGTCTTACCAACATCTCTCCCTTGACTCTGTAAGTCTTGCCAATGATCGTGGTCAAAAGCAGCAACGTTCTAAAGGTTAAATCATTTGTTCGAACACTAATTTGACAAACACTCTATATTTGTATCTAGAGTGGTTGAATTTTCAGAAAGAGCACCTTTTTGAGACTCAGGCAAGATGTTAGACACGAGTCTTGGTTTAAAATGATGAAGACATTTAAAACACTACAGCTCTGAAGGAGAGTTTGCTGTGCAGTGTATTTCTATTAGACATGCATTTAGCATCCTCTCTTCCAATATGCTTTGGTTTTGTTTGCTTGTTAGGTGATAAAATAGGTACCTATGTTAATGTATCTTTAATTTGTTGTTGATGTTGTTAAGTGCCTTCGAGTCAGTTCCAACCCATAGTGACCCTGTATAGGGTTTCCAAGGAACGGCTGGTGAGTTTCAGGCGCTTTTATTTACTGTTAATTTGATTAAAAAAAAAAAAAAAAAGGAACCGAAGTATCAATTGTTGTTGTTGTTGTCAGGTGCCATCAAGTCGGAACCGACTCATAGCGACCCCATGCACAGCAGAACGAAACAATGTCCGATCCTGGGCTAACCTCACTACTGCTGCCACACTTGATGCCATCAATGATGCCACCTGGCCGATCCATCTCATTGGGGGTCTTCCTCTTTTTCTCTGACCCTCCACCTTATTCAGCATGACATCCTTCTCCAGTGACTGTTCCCTCCGGACAATATGTCCAAAATATATACCGAAGTATCAACAGGGGTGCTATTATCTTCACAATGATTTAATTAATTCTACTTTCTAATGTCTAAATAGATTCCCAAGGGGCCCTGGTGGAACTGTGAGTTAGGCATTGGGCTGCTACCTGCAAAGTTGGCAGTTCAAACCCACCAACTGCTCTGGGGGAGAAAGATGAGGCTGTCGGTTCCAATAAAGGTGACAGTTTCAGAAGCCCAATTTCAGGACACTGTGAGCTGGAATTAACTGTCAGTGGCAATGGTTTTACATTTTGTGGGTTTTTTGTTTTTTTTTTTTGTAAATACTTGAAGGAAGTAGATGTCTAAATAATCAAATCTATTAAAAAACAAACAAACAAAAATATATCAGCAATAAAGCCCATAGAATTACCTGAGTATCTGAGAACACATTATTTTTGGTATCATATACAAAGAGTCTTGGTGTGGTGCTGTGGGTTAATGCACCAGACTGTAAAGCCATTTGAACCACAAGGTCGGCGGTTCAAGCTCACCAGCTGCTCCTCAGAAACCCTGTACAGGGTCGCTATGAGTCAGAACTGACTCCACGGCACATAACCACCACCACTACCATATCATATGCAGTCATACAAAAATATACAATTATTCTGTTATATTGCCACCCAAAATAATGTGAGTTCTCAGATACTCAGGTAATTCTATGGCCTTTATATATGTCTATATCATATGCACAAGGAGCTCTGGTAGCGTAGTGGTTACAAATCGGGCTGCGAACCGGAAGGTCAACAGTTCGAAACTACCAGCCGCTCCGCGGGAGAAAGATGAGGCGATCTGCTCCTGTAAAGATTTACAGCCTCGGAAACCCTATTCAGGGTCGCTATGGGTCGAAACCGACTCGACGGCACTTAACAACAACAACAACATATCATATGCACAAGGAGCTCTGGTAGTGTAGTGGTTACGAATCGGGTTGCGAACCTTAAGGTCAGCTGTTCGAAACTACCAGCTGTTCCACGGGAGAAAGATGAGGCTTTCTGCTCCCGTAAAAATGTACAGCCTCGGAAACCCTGTACAGCGTGGCCATGAGTCAGAACCGACTCCACAGCACATAGCAGCAACAACAAATATCATATGCACGGAATCCTGGTGTGGCGCTGTCGGTTAATGTGCCAGATTGCAAAGCCGTTTGAATTGCAAGGTTGGTGGTTCAAGCTCACCAGCTGCTCCTCGGAAACCCTATGCAGGGTCGCAACTCGCCGGCACTTAAAACAACATCAATATATCGTATGCAGAATGTGGAGAAAATGTGAATAAATAAATACTTCCGTAATCTGATTAAACACAACCTTAGCTGAATTAATATGAAATAAGCCTATCTTTTAGAGTTGATTTTGGATAAACCATGTCTAAGGGAAAACGCTGTCTTTATTGCTTGAGAATATATATTTTCAAACTTGTGCTTTTATCCTACAATTTAGAATACCAATGACTCCCTTCAGTCTATTTAGCCTGGCATTTAATAAAAACACAACTTGAGTGTGACATTCACTTCTCTTCCTGATCATTGTCGTTAAGTGCCGTCAAGTCAGTTCTGACTCATACCAACCCAGTCCAGGGGTTCCAAGAAGGGCCAAAGCAATATAAAACATATGACTAATATAAATCCTACGCCTTCCCTGTTATTTACACAAACACTTACAAAAGCAATGACGTCCATGAAGACAGAAAAAAAAACAAAATCCTCCCCCCACCAAACATATTCATAATGTGCTAGGGGCTTACAGTGGATATTTACACTACAGGATTAGCACTGGACTGCTACCCACAAGGTCAGCAGTTCAAACCCACCAGTTGCTCATTGGAAACCCTATACTGGGTTGCTATGAGTTGGAAGCAACTCTATGGCACTTCACAACAACAAATAATACTCATTATTGCACAGTTTAACAACTATTATTTGAATATGGTGATTCCATGAAATCATCATTTATTTATGCTGAAAAATCTCTACATCAGCTGGGAATTCAGTCAGATTCTGCAAGATCATCTCGCCCAGTAAGAAAGCACTCCCTTGTCCTCACTGGTCACTGCAGGACCATTGAGAGCCACTGTCCATCCTCCCAAGCACACACCACAACTAGATGTAACGACACAGTCCACGGAAAAGTCCCTTCACGCCTCCTCTTACCTCCAATTACTGCCGAGTCCCTCCGGATTGCATTAGCTGTGGGTTCTCTGTCATCAGCTGTTCCAGAATGATCTGCAGTTAAAAGACCACAAAAGAACACAACGAGTGACATAGGGAAGTAAAAAGGAGGAATTGGAGAAATTCATAAATGCTTGAAAATCCAGAAGAAAACACAGGTAATGGTGGGGATCCCTATATTTCTAAGTTTAAGCGATGCCAATTGCAAATGGCCCACGTGATTAAGAAATTGAAATTCTAGAAAAGAAACAGAAAGTTAAACCAAAGAGACCAATGCTAAGAACCCATCGAAGGATGTAGCACAGGGAAAGGAAGACCCACAAACCACCTGCAAAGGAGTGAGTCCTCTCCCTTGATGTGGCGTCTGGGCCAGTCTGGGCCACACAGCTGGACTCGGTCACATGTCCCTTTACAATGACGGGAGCTGGGTGGCTGGGGTGCAGAGCAGCCTTCAGAGGGGCCACGTGGCTGAACTGCACGGCAGAGAGGCAGCCCAAGAAGCCGTGCGCACCAGCCAGTGCCGTCTCCTGGTCCACATCGCTGTGCTCTGGAAATCCAAAGAAACATCACGATGTTGATAACTTTGTAAAGTGCAAATGAGCAGCAACTCAAGGAATGAGTACCATCAGCTTCGGGCACTGGCAATAAATACGGGTGTTTGGTTGGTTGTGGAGTTGGTTCTGACTCATGTCTAGGGATTCTGAGACTGTATATTTTTATCGGAGCAGAAAGCATCATCTTTCTCCCAGAGTGGCTGGTAGATTCGAATTACTGACCTGCAGTTAGCAGCTCAACTTGTAACCAATCACGTGACCTGAGCACCTTGGAAATGAATATTGTTGTTGTTGTTGTTGTTAGGTGCAGTCAAGTTGGTTTCGACTCAAAGCAACTCAGTACAGGGTTTCTGAGGAGCGAATAGTGAGTTTGAATCACAGGTTTTGTGGTTCAAATTGACCTTTTAGTCCTGTGCTTATCCTACAGTGTCACCCCAGAATTCTGGCAATAAACACACAACTATGAAATTCCCTTCCCTTGCCTTGAGTCAGACCCAATAAGTCAGTCCACTAGTACTGGTGAGGTGGCCCAAGTGAATAAAGAAATATTTTAAGTAGGGCTCTGGGCTCTGGTAGTGTAGTGGTTACGAATAAGGCTGCGAACCTTAAGGTCAGCAGTTTGAAACCACCAGCTGTCCCGCTGGAGAAAGATGAGGCTTTCTGCTCCCGTAAAGATTTACAGCCTTGGAAACCCTATACAGGGTCGCTATGAGTTGGAACCGACTCCACGGCACATAACAACAACAACATGGGTTAATGCATCAGACTGCAAAGCTGTTTGAACTTCAAGGTTGGTGGTACAAGCTCACCAGTCGCTCAGAAAACCTATACAGGGTCGCTCTGGGTCGGAACTGACTCAATGGAACTTACAACAACAACAACAACAATTAAATTTAGTGTGATGTTGTAGGCTAAGCACTGACCTGCTAATAAGGTCAACAGTTGATACCCACCAGCCACTGCTTGGAAACCCTCTACAGGGTTGCTATGAGTTGGAACCAACCTGACAACACTTACCACCACCACAATCAAACATGGGGTCTTGCTGTGGTGCTGGATAGGCACTGGCCTTCTAACTGCAAGGTTGTCTGTTCAAACCCACCAGGCGTTCCTCAGAAATCCTATACAGGGTTGCTATGAGTTGGAAGTGACTCCATGGCACTGAACACCACCAGTTAAACAGAGAGTACAAACTCTGGAAAGGATTGAAGCCACCATAAAGAACGGGCCAAGGAAGTTTACATTTGAAATGGATCACGAAACGAGCTTGTGAGAGAGTTTCCGGCTAACAGATACAAGGTGCCAATGAAGAGTTTCCAGGGCCCAGCTGTGTGACTCAGCTTCTGAGCCTTAAGCCACGAAAGTAACGGAAAGCTGCGGGGGAAGGAATCTTTGGCGTTCTCATCTCAGTTGCCTTCTTTGACAATCTGGTTGGACTGGAAGCTCTCTGGTACTTCTTGATCCTCCTCAATCATGCCAGGAGGGTGTTATCACATGCAGTAGACATCAAAACGCCCACTGCCCATCCCTGAGCCCATCCCTGAGTCCACCCCTTAGTCCATCCCTGAGTCCATTACAGCCCACAGTGACCCTTTCTGGACAAAGTGGAACTGCTCCTCAGGGTTCCCAAGACTGTGAATCTTTACAGCAGCAGACAACTGGAAGGTTATAACCTTGTGGTCTTGTCCCAGTTGTGCAAATGGGACACGTCAGTTCTGAAGCCACACACTTGCTGGCATGACCCGCTGGGTCCCAGGTCTGCTGGGCTCCAAACCATAAGCTTTTGTTCGCTTACTCCTCTCAGACTGACACACTATCTCCTTCACTCTGCGTCTACCATCTGTGGTGCCATTTCTTCTTTCGGCTTGAGAGCTCTGCTTTAAGCAACTCTGAGCATCTCAGAGCTGATTGATTTTGTCCTGTTACAGTTAGGTTTTTGAAGGGCACTCCATTTTCATTCACATCATATTCCTGATGAGGAGAATGCTGGTTAAGTTTCGTATCATGAGTACAGCATCACAGTCTCTATAAAGACAATGGGAAGCAGAGTGGGCACGTAACTCCCCTACTGCACAGAGCTGAGTCAGGAGCGGGCATTCAGCCCAGGTGTTCTAATCCCTTTCGAAGTACCAGAGATCCTGTTCTGACTCATAGTGCCTCTATTGAAAAGAGTAGAACTGCCCGTTGGGTTTCCAAGCACCAGTGGTTAAATATGAGGCCACTAACCAAATCATGAGCAGTTCCAGTTGCTTTAGCTTCTGAATGAGCAAGCACGAGTTTCAGAGTCTTTTCTGAGATCCATTTCTATCTTTTATTCCCCTCTTTCCTGACTTTTTAATAACCTTTTGCTTTCATGTGTGAGGTTCTTGATGGTATTCCATAATCCCTCTGGTTTTCAGTCATTAGTGTTTGATGTGTCACTTTATTCTTGGGATAGTCTCTAAACTCAGATGGGATACACTCAAGGTTATATTTCGGCTCTCATGTACTTACTGAAGTCTTCTTCAGTTTAACTTGAACTTGTATATGAGCAACTGATGGTCTGTTCCACAGTTAAGCCCTGGCCAGACGATATTGAGTGTCTTCGTTGTTTCTTTACAAAGATAGAATCTATTTGATGTCTGTGTATTCCATCTGGTGAGGTCCACATGTATAGTTATTGAAAAAGGTATTTGCAATGAGAAAGTGGTCGATCTTGCAAATTTCTCTGATGCGATGGATCTTTGTATCTCATGTCACTTCTACCAACAAGGCCGCAATTCCCAACTACTAGTACTTCCTTTCCAACTTGTGCATTTCAGTCACCAGTAATTATCAATGCATCTCAATTCATGTTTGATCAATTTCAGACTGAAGAGAAGACAGTAGAATGCTTCAGTTTCTTTGTTATTGGCTTTTGAACAATAGTTGTATTAACTGATCTTCCTTGTAGACATATGGATTTTATCCTATCACAGATAGCAACGTGTTGAAATGTACTTTTTGATGATGAATACGATGCCGTTGTTTTAAATTTGTCATTCCTCAAATAGTAAATCATATGACTATTCAATTCAAATGGCCAATACCAGTCCAGTTCAGCTCATTAATGACTAAGATAGCAATGTTACATTTCATTTTTGATGATTTCCAATAGATTAATATTCCATCCATTCCACATTTTCATTCTTAATATATATTTGCAGTTATTTGTCCTCATTTTCAGTCATGCCCCATCTGCAAACAAAGGTCCTGAAAGCTTTGCTCCATCCATACCATTAAGGTAGATTCTACTTTGAGGAGACAGCTCTTCCCCAGTCATATTTTGAGTGCCTTCCAACTTGAGACGCTCATCTCTCAACACTGAATCAGGCAATGTTCAACTAATATATTCATAACGTTTTTCAGTGGCTGATTTTTCAGAAGTGCTCTGCCTTCCTTCTGTCTAGTCTGGAAGATCCACTGAAATCCGCCCACCAGAGGTGACCCAGCTGGTATTAGAAATACCAATGGCGTAGCTTCCAGGATTGCAGCACCACGCAATGAGGTCGGAGGTTTAGGTCTACACAGAAGAAAAGCTGAGTGATTTCATTTCCGAAAATCAGCTACTGCAATCCCTGTGAGCACAGTTCTCCTCTGACAGACAGGATCACCGTGACTCACAGTCATTTCAACAACTGCTTTTTTACAATTCACTCCTTAGTCTGTAGAAATTATTCCAGCGTATTCTGATCTTCTAAATTTTTAACATCTTCTGTGTTTTGGGAATTTCATCAGATTATCCTTAAGGGTGTTTTTCCTCATGTAGTTTGTGTAGAATTAGAAGTACCACCCCACCCCTACCACCCAGCGCATAATTTTTCCCAAAAGTCTTCCCTTCTTGCATGAGTAATTTCTTGTTGTTAAGTGTTGTCTACTTGGTTTTCACTCGTATTCATCCTGCACAGTGTTTTCAAGGAGCAGCTAGTAGGTTTGAACGGCTAACCTTGCAGTTAGCAGTCCAGTGCTTACAATACAGGGCCATACCAGGACTCTGTGTGAATAGGTTGTTGTCGTTAAGTGCTGTCAAGTCAGTTTTGACTCATAGTGACCCTGTATAGGGTTTCCAAGGAGTGGCTGGTGAATCTGAATCTCTAACCTTGCAGTTCAAACCAACCTTACCATCCAGGGCATTACTCCACAGCACCACACCAGGACTCCTATATGAGTAAGCAGGGATTCATAAGGTATTGCTGAACAATGGTGATGGTGGCTATGTGCCATCGAGTTGGTTTCGACTCACAGAGACTCTGTATAGGCATTCCAAGCTGTAAACCTTTGTGGGAAGAAAAAGTTTCATCTTTCTCTGGCAGAACAGCTGGTGGATTTGAACTGCTGACCTTGCTGTTAGCAGCCCAATGCGTAACCCACTCCATCACCAGGGCTCCTATTGAACAATAAAATTATTAAAATTCAAGGTACTAATAATATATTTTTGGCATTGATTTTCTTTTCCTTGTTGAGGGCACACACTAACTGAAGAACTTCTACACGTACATTTCAGCGACAATGATGACATTCCTTCCCGTGCAGCTACTATCACCCTCCTTATCCAAACTGCTCCCCGATTAACGGACTCACTGCTCCCCAACTTTCCCTTCTAAGCTTTCAAACGGCTGTTATCAATCTGATCCATAGAGTCCTGGGGTGGTGCACTCGATTGTCAGTGGTTCAAACCCACCAACTGCTCCTCGGAAACCCTCAACAGCAGGGGTGGGGAAACTTTTTCTGCCAAAATTGATAACATCGTTCGCGGGACATACACAATTATCAAATTAAAAATTAGCCTGCTGTATCTGAATGAACATTTAATTAAGTCACCCCTAATGGGAGTCCTGGGAAGTTGCTGTAAGAGAATGCACTGGACTGCAAGGTTTGCTTGAACCACAAGGCTGGCAGTTCAACTCCACCAGCCGCTCCTTGGAAACTCTGTACAAGGTTTCTGTGAGTCAGAACTGAATTGATGGCACTTAAC